GCTTCATTAATGCCTGTCTTCTATTTCACTGTCCTTCCCTGCACTGTCAAATAATTTCAGTTACTGTATTTCTAAAGTTCCATTTTATTTGTTGTTATTTTCCCTTCATGTGTTCCTTTGAATTCTTGAGCATATTTATTTTTTCATTTTTTTTTAAAGATTTATTTATGATTACAAGAACTGGGATACAGGCCAGAGGCATGGGAGGTGAGAGGACCCACCAGAGACAGAGTGGGGAACAGAACAGGCAGATAGACTGAGGTACACTGCTGAGGGGAGCAGCAGGCGAGCCAGGAGAGGTCTGCTGCGCCATGTGGGTAGCTCCCTGGCCAGGGATTGAACTGGAGCTGCAGAGGCTGTGGACAGCTTCACAGCACTGCGCTCAACCCCTTGCGCCACCAAGGAGGCCCTCCTTGAGCATATTTATAATAGTTATTTGAAAGTCCTTGTGTACTCATTCTATTAATTCTTTCCTTCAAGGTCTATTGATTGGTTTTTCTGTTGATTATGGGTTGTTTTCCTGTTTGCATATATAATGATTTCTTACTGGATGCTGGACATTGTAATAATCTTTTGTTAAGTGACAAGATTTTTTGTCTTTTAAGTTGTTAAACTTTTGTTTTGGCAGTCAGTTAAGTAACTCTCTGGTCAGCTTGAATCTTCAGGCTTTATTAGGGTGGGTCTAAGTGTTTAGGAAAACTTTAAGGCTAGTCACTACTACTAAGCATGCGTGCCCCTTCTCAGTTCTCTACTAAATGCCCCAGTGTCTGTGTATTCTCTTCACTCTGTTGGAAGGAATTTAGGAACCTACCTGTCTTACATGCACACTGGGAGTATTCAACCCACAGCTCCTCTTTCCCTAGCTTCATGGAATCTTTCACCTGATGTACTGCTTAGTATACAGCAGCCAACACAAAGGACTGCCACAGTGCAGTTCTCTGGAACCTTTTCTCTGCATGGCTTCTCTTCTTTCTGCTACTGTCTTAGAAATTCTTCCTACTTGAGACTCCTCAGTTCTGACCTCTTGCATCTCACCTCAGTGACACTACTGTCCTCTGACTTGGTTTCACCTTCATTGACTGAGGTTGGAAAGTGCCTCCAAGCAGAAATAGAGCACTAAGCATAGATGTTCACTTCATTTCTGTCTGTTCCCTTATGGATCACAGTCCTTAGTTCTCTGTCACCTAATGTGCCTGAAATAGCTGTTTCATGTATGTTGTCAGTTTTTCTTTTTTTTTTTTTACTTTATTTATTTTTAAAGATTTATTTAATCATTCATACAAGCACTGGGTACAGTCAGAAGTGTGGGAGGGTGCGAGAATTCACCGGAGCCACAGCGAGGAACTGAACAGGCAGACTGACGAAATACATTGCTGAAGGGGGTAGCGGGCGCGGCAAGAGAGGTCTGAACGCCATGTGGGACTCTCACCGGTGGCTGGGGATCGAACCGACGCTGCAGAGGCTGCAGGCAGCCTCTCAGCCCAGCACTCAACTGCTGTGCCACCAGGGAGGCCCAGTTTTTCTTAGTTTTGACTGGAAACAATGGACATATACTTTGGCTCTTCTTCTGGACTTTCTGTTCCACTTATCCGATTATCTAATGCCCATATCTTACTCGTTTTTTTAAAAATAAACTTTTTCCCCCCATGTTAGATTCAGCTGTACTCTTGTCTGAACGAAAAATATATGGATTCTTTTAAAAACCAAAACGAAATGGCAAAGTGATATATACAGTGAATACAATTTTATGACATACTTAAATAAGATTTACTTTTAAAAAAAATTTTAATGGTATTTTCTATTTACTTCTATATATATATATATATTACATTATTATTCATTTTTGTACGATTTGCTTTCTCCTATCAGTTGTAGTCCCTATAAAATTCCCACCACCAAGTTACCCATGAACTATCACCATAGTCTCTTGCTCTTCCTGCCCCTGCTTTAATCCCTTTCCCTCCCCCTCCCCTGCGGAATGTCTCTGATTTATATATACTTGCCTGGGAGTTTTGTCTTTTTTTTTCCCCCTGATCCCTTGTTTGGTTTGCCTCTATTCCTCTTATAAATGAAACTATCCGATATTTTTCTTTTTCCTTCTGACTTAAAAAATAGACTTTTGACTGAAATATAATATGGAAGAGCACACTTATAAATGTGCATGTAACTCATTTAACTTCACACTCTAAGCATAGATGTTTAGCTGGCATTCAGATCAGGAAACATCAGTAGATCCTTTGAAGCCCCTTGTGGTCTCTCTGCCACTACCTGTCATCCCCCAAGAGTAACCACTATCTTCACTTCTAATAGCATAGATTAGATTGGCCTGATTTTATATCTTATGTAATTAAATCAATCATACTTAGGTGTGTATGGCTTCTGTCACTTAACATAGTGGAGATGCATCCACATTGTTGGTTGTCGTAGTTGGTTACTTTTAATAGTTGCTATGTAATAATCTGTTTTAGTAATATACCAGAATTTTGTTTTTTCTCTTGATGGACATTTTAAACATTTTTGGTTTGGAGCCACTAATATTGCTACTGTAAACATTGTGAACATAGGTACAGTAGTCCCCCCTTATCCTCAGAGGATATGTTCCAAGAACCCCCAGGTGATGTTTGAAACCACAGATGCTAATGAAGCCTGTATATATATATTGTTTCTTCCTATATACATCTGTGATAAAGTTTTGTCTATAAATTAGGCACAGTTAGGTTAACATCTACAATAATAAAATACTATAATGAAATTTAAGTGAATGTGGTCTTATTATTTCAAAATATCTTAATATATGTAATATTTTCAGAAATAAAGTAAGATTAAAGGCCATGGGATTTAGCATATATAAGAAAGATGGCTTTTATAAGAGACATTTTAGTGGGTAGATGCTTTGTATGTTAGCAACTGGCAGGTCTTTTTGGCAACTGAAGGAGTAAGGAAATGGCATTCCAGAGAGTTAATGGAGTCTAGGGAATTGTATTGAGAGTACTACATGAAAGCAGTATTTAAAATTTTTAGTCCAACTGAAGAATGTACTAGAATGAGGAGAGCCTGAAGATAGGAGGAGGAGAACAATCTGTGGTCAGTTGTAAAATCTATAAATAGACAAAACTTAAATGAGTTATAAAAAGTATCTCTGCCCATACCTTGACATGGTACAAAAGAGAGCAGAAAGTGGCATGGGGATACAGTTTTTTAAAAGATGATAGAAAAGGTAGTCTGTGAAATTTTGACCTAGGTTTAGAAGGAGGTAAAGGAAATAGGCTATTGGAAAGGTGACGAATGTACCGAATATAGTAATATAAATGTGTGTACTTGTGTGTGTAGAGAGAGTTGGCAGGTGGATTATTTTAAGAAATGAAAATGTTGCAGGGAGATGAATATAGATTAATATGGAAATTTCTTGTTCTTGATCTCATTTCTTATTTGTAGATTATTAGATTGAGCCCTCTGTTAGATAAAAATAAAATAAAGGCAATAGAATGATATCAGAGTGCACCAAACAGTCCTGGTGCTTACAGTTTCTGTCCTTCACCGTGTATCCTTACAGATTTGGTATTTCCTTTATGATTATGGATTCCTAATCTTCTGACATAAGGCTTCTCAAATTGAGGTCTGCGTATCATCTGAAATGTATGTTAAAAAATACAGATTTAGACACCCCCACTTTATATACTGAACCACAGTATCTGGAGGTAGAGATCAAGTATATGCATACTTTTTTTAGATTCCATAGGTGATAATATTATAAAATAGAGTTTGAGAATCAGTCTTCTGAGGTCTTAAAACAAGGTTGAGTTTTTTTTTTTTTAAAAAAAGATTTATTTATACAAGAGCTGGGGTACAGTCAGAGGTGCAGGAGGGTGAGAGAATTCACCAAAGACAGAGCGGGGAGCAGAACAGGCAGATGGACCAAAGACACTGCTGAGGGGAGCAGTGTGGGTGAGACAGGAGAGATCTGCCACGCCATGTGGGAATCTCCCTGGCCGGGGCTGGGAATCGAACCTGCGCTGCAGAGGCACCAGACAGCCTCACAGCACTGCGCTCAACCTGCTGCGCCACCAGGGAGGCCCAAGTTTTAAGTTCTAAAAGAACATGTATATGGTAGTGAATTTACTTTCTGCCATCGACTGTAGTACATTCCTTAGCCTTTGTGATTTGATTTCTTCATATATAATAAAAGGAAATGGATTAAAAGACTTCAGTTCCTGGTCCGCTAAGAAAAACTCTGATTCTCTACAAATGAGTTAAAGAATTTATACATTACTTGGGTGCATACTCTAAGGTTCAGAATTTGCTTTTGATAGGAGTAACATTTTGAAAGATATATTAAATATTTGCTGTAGGAAATAATTGCTGCCATATAACGAGGCCCCATTGTGTACCATGCAGCAGTATCTACATACTCATAAATTTCTCTTAGTATAACAGCTCAACACTCGAGACTCGGAGGACAAAAGGGCCTATTCAAGACTTAAGCAGGTAGTGGACATCTGCCCATAATCGTAACTAACATACATTCTATTGATAGATGCTCAGTGCATAGAGTTTAACTAAAAGCTAAATTGCTATAGTTTCCTGAAGGAATTAGAGGCCTGTAGTGAAAACAATTTTCATACATTTTTAGCCCATTTAAAGGGAGGAAAGACTAAAAAAAAGGCAAGCACTGAGTTTTGTGGATGAAAATAGGAAAACATTTTCCCATTTTTGTGGGAATTTTGTGGCACTCAGGCCACAGGACCTGCTTAACCACACTTCCACACACCCTGGCAGCAGTAGGGTCATTTGTCTCAACATGTTTTTGATATCTATAAATTTTCAGAAAAATGAATTTGCTTTTACACTAAATTTTAGGAAAAAAGTTTTCTTTGAAAGTGCATTCAGTGGTTTATGTAAAAAGAATTGAGTGAGGTGTTTTATATTTTAGGTTAAAAATCTGTAAGAGCCTGATTTTAGAATTCACCAGCTCCTCAGAAGTTTGGCGAAATATGGTATGTTTCTGTTTTATTTTTTGGGTTGCATGTGTATCTTAATATCATAGTTAGAATGATGGCAAATCTGTAGAGCAAATTGGGGGGAGCTGCCTTTTTTTTTAGTGTTGTGCCTGGTGCCAAATAGATATGGAAGCAGGTAGATTGTTTGAGGGGCCCAAGTGGGTTACCAAAAGAATTTAGAGGAGGTTAGTGTGCTGTGAGAAGTAAGATAATATACAAAAGAAGATTGAAAGTATAGGTTTGGCTATTAGGCTGTGAGTTAATAATGGCTTTCCTTCGTTAAGCTCTCACTTTGTGCCAGGCACTGATGTGAGCAATTTACAAGTTAGCTTGTTCATCCTCATGACAGTCCTCTGGAATAGATACTACTGTTACCTTAGTTCTACCCATGAGGAAACTGAGGTTCAGGGAGGTTAGGTAACCTGCCCAAACTTCCTATCTAGTAAGTGACCTAACAGGGATTTAATCCATACTAGCTCCAGAACCTGTTTGTGTTCTATTTGAGCGCATAAAAGAAAAAGTCTAGAAGAGAGGACTTGGTAATTTTCCAAATACATGTAGCTCTTTAGTGAATTAACTCACCTCAGTCAGTTATAAAGTATTTTAACTTTTTCAATTTTATGTTTACAGGTTGGAATGTTAAATTTGTTTGGGTCTTCTAAATCTACATACATATTAGTTTTATGAGAACCTGAGAGGGACCTGTATTGTGACCACATTTTGTTGAATTTTGGGACATTGTTGCCTCCTTTCCATGTAACCTCAGGAATGTTCTAGGTTCTTATTAGGAGACATGTTGCTATGTTAGGTAATTTGGGAAATTGAATTCTTCCCATTTATTGGCACTCCCTAAAGTTACTTACGTATACTTAGGCCAGCCCTCACTCTTGAAGCCCAAGTTCATGAACTGCAGAGGTATGAACTCAGACTTTGGTATTTCAGCCCTTATGTTGGGATTCTCAGATATCTTGCTATTTTATGTTAGTTTCTGCTTGGATCTATACCGTTAACCTAATTTGGCTGTTGTGACTTGGAAGGTGTTAACTATCAGGGACCTTTTTTCCCCCTCCCTCCTAATTTTCTCATCTTTCCTTATTTCCCTTTTCAGATCTGTCCTGGATAAACAGTGTAGTAGGGACATGGCAGGGGAATAACTACAGTTAACCCTAGAACAGCACAGGTTTGAATAGGGTTCCACTTCATGTAGACTGCCCTTTTTAGCTATGAGTTCTGGCATTCATGAGCACAATGAATTGTGGATGCTGAACACGTGTTTTAGGAGAGTGGAATATTAATGTTTTCAACTAGTGGAGGCTGGGATCCCTAAGTTCCATCCCTAAGGTCAAAAGTAGTTGCACAAAATGAGGTTTGACCAGTGCCAATCAGGAAAGGTCACCTAAGGTCAGGTAAGGGAGTCCAAAGATACTAGGTTGAGGGAGGAAGAGTGTCTTCATTCTCTCTCATGAAATTTGATCTTGGTGGATTTATGACTGAGAAGCACGGAACATGTTTTCATGAAGTACCCCAGAAGTTTTGGATAATATTAGGTTATCCTATTTAAATGTAGAACAAGTAGGATTGGACCTGGGCTTTGGGGGATGTGTGTGTATGTGTGTATGTATAAAACCCATTAAGTACATGGTTACCTTTAAATATTATGGCTATTACTCATATCTAAAGTACTGCTATACCTATAGGGATCTCAGTCCCATATACTAAATTGCAACTCATTTATGTGTATTTTTGCCACGGAGCTCTGCGTAGCAAAACTGAACCAAATCAAATCAATAAAACCAAGCCCCTGGATAGGAAATTAGTAGATCTGGATTTTAGTCCTAGCTTCAACACTAATTCTGAAATCTTGGGCAAGTCAGTTAATCACTCTAAAGCTCCTTAATTTTCTTTTTAAATTCTTAAATAGTATCTGCCTTGATGAGGTAGAATGAAAGTGGTCATGAGACTGAAACAAGATACTGTTGATAAAAGTGCTTTGTAAACTGTAACACTCCATAAAACTACAAGAGATTATTACATTTTCTCAGAGAGATCATTTAAGGAAATAAAGTGCTGGAAAATAGTCCTTACAGGCATTTCTGTAATTACTCTTCTGATGAATGTTGCATTGACACCTAATTCAAGCTTTGAAGATTATTTTTTGAACAGTGAATTGGGTTTATATATTAAAGTGTTCTAACTAAAGATTTGTTTAATTTATTAGAGTTATTAAACCTACGCTCAGACCAAGTTAGCAGCTAGACTGGTGTGACAACCTGTTTTAAATCAGTGACTCAAAGCTGTGATCACCCTGATGTCACCGAATGGCCACAGCTTGTAAAAGGTAATTTTGAATGTTATTTTACAGCCTTTAAAAGGCTGTTGTTGTAAAGTAAAATACGTGCTGTGAAAAATGAAGAAAATGTGTAGTTGGCATGAATACTGCTAAGAATAGTGGACCTAAGAGTTAACCTACTTCTCCAATTAATCTTCTTCCTAAAATATTTCATACTTTATTCCCCACACTTATCTGTATATATAAACAGGAAAGTATTTCTCAAAAATTTCAAGATTTAAATAAACATTTTGTCATGAACATTATAAAGATACGAAAACATTATTAATAAGAATTTTAAAGTGTTCCTTTTATGTAGTGAGAGTTTTAAGTAAACACTTCTCAAACGTATTTACAATTTTAATAAAAGAAATATACATTTTCCCCTAGAAAATTACTTGCAGGTAAGGGGTGGCTTGCAGGCTGGCGAAGCTGCATCAGGTGGTTCTGGAAGTGAGCCTCCATTTGCATTTTCTAGCTCATGCTGATTAGTGAGTTCAGATGAGTGGGTATTTTGTGATCACATTTTCTGTGATCCAAATAAAGGCCTAAAATTGAGACTTCCAAGATTTTTTTAAAGTTTTCGGTATGTTACTTGCTTATTGTTTTAGTTTTAGATTGATTTCTGATTTGTTACTCTGACAAATTCTTTAATTATTTTAAGTTGATATTTTTTCCCTTTGATTATATGTCCTAAATTTGGTAAAATTTCGTGCATCTACTAGATTCTTACTCCCAAATAACTTGGCAGTAAAGAGACTCTTTAGAGGCCAAAGTGTTAAGCTTGGAAACTTGTTAGGTATTAAACATATCAGTCTTGAGAGTTTGAATGCAAACTTTAGGACTTTCTTGTTAAATTATATAGAATATTATAAAAATACTGTGAGCAAAATGATCAGAAATTTACCTATACGTGTACTATATTCAAAGCAAGAAAAGAGTTTCTGCTAGTCATACATATAATCACTTTTCTTGTGATTAGCAAGCAGTTTCCTTTTTGAATAAAAAATAACCTGTGTTAACCATGTTTAAATGACCCACGGTAGATCTATTTTATGTAAATAATCCTTCTATCCTTTCTTACTCTTTTGTCCTTCTTTTAGACTGAATTGGTTTAAATTACTTGGTTTGACTTACAAGGTGTTTTTATTAGCTCACTTTAATGTATAATCTATTCAGTAATAATTAGTATGTTAATAATTGCCTGGTGACATTTTGATACTATTTCATATTATTTTGTTTAGGAAACAAATTGAGAAGGTTGACTGTAGTTATTACCATTTGATGTATTTAACCTCTATCCCATTTCAGAATCCAAAACTTTAGCAGTTTTATGTCAGGCTTCTGTGATTGAGATTTGTTCTCCTTCTTGCTTATATTTTACCTTTTTGTGATAGTATTTTTATTTTCCTGTCATTTTGTCCTCATTTTCCCCCTTTTTTCTCTTCTCCTATTAATTTTGAAAGTTTTGCTCCCTACGTGTTTGAAAGTCTAATCTGCCTCTCTTCCCTTAGTGCCAGCGGGTTTAATTTTTGTTTTGCAAGCCTGCTCTGCCTCCTTACAGTATGACATCTGATGCTGGAGGGTCGCACTTTCAAAAATGAGTCAGCTGGTACATGGGGTTCTCATCAGTTTTTAGCTCTTCTGTCTGAGAGATACAAGTTTGGAAGCAATCTTGGGGTACTTACCCGCAAGGCTGGTGGAGACCAGGTGTGTCACAAAGGTGATTTGCTTGCTCCCTGGGGGAGAGGGTGGAGTGAAAATTTTGCATTTGTATCACTGCCAAGTCACTGCCACCTCCAGTATGCCCCAGTTTTTAATTCTAATAAAATTTTCTGCAAAATTAAAAATGTAAATACATTGTAAAGAAGATCTTACAAATATTTGAAATGTTGGAAACTTTTTCCTCCCCTCTCACCCCCTCCCCCATTTTTGTCCTAGGACTCTGAATGATCTCTTGTGAGGGGTAAATTTGAAAATCTAATGTATTGTAGAAATGAGTTTTTTTTTTAAGCTAAGAAACATGGAAACATTTATTTTGCTGGTAGCTCTGATTTTTTTCTTTTGGTAAAGTTGTTCAAAGTTTAATCAGTGATAAATTCACACACATCAATTCCTTGTAATGTCATTTGGGCATTTAGATTTTGACCTCTACAAAATATTTTACCTATTTTGAGAATTTGAAGGTGTTAGACTTTAGTATTATATTGATTCACTTTAATATATGTTGATTGGTACTAAAAGTGAAGTGGATAATAGGAATTAATTTTTTTGAAAAAAACATGGGATGGATAAGCAACTTTATGTCCTCAAATGAAAATAAAAGACTTCTTAGTGCCTTAGAATTTTGAATATTTCCACACAAGATAGTAGCAATATATTAGAAGGCAATAGGAAAAAAACTGGCAATTATTTGAGACTGAATTCACTTAATAATTAATCATGGCAAAATTTTAATACTGCAGTATGGTGCATTGTTGACTGGTAGTATAACTTGCCAATATTTTTTCAGGAAAGTTAATTTGTTGAACCAAGATAATCATGATCAAAATGGAAATCTGACTATAGTGTCTCAGAAGTCACTAAGGATATTAGATTTAAATTTGAGTTATCTAAAGCAGAGATTACCAAACTTTCACTTAAATAGTTTAGGCTTTGTGGATCATATCGTCTTTGTCACAGTTTCTCAACTCTGTTCTTATAGTGTGAGAGAAGCCACAGACAGTATGTAAACAAACGAGTATGGCTGTGTTGCAGTAAAACTTTATAAAACCTAGTGGCTGACCCAGGCCTTAGTTTGTTGTCTGAGGCAATAGTTTGCTGACTCCTGATCTGATGTGAATACCTTTGATACTGTGGATAATACCTGTAGAAAGTTTTGTAGTGTTATGTTTTTATTATAAATGTTTGACTTTGTGAATAATTATGATTTATTACACTGGTCTGTATGTTGGTATCTAAATATGATATTTATAATTCCATTTTTAAAAATGCAAAAAAAAATGCAGTTTTTTATTAGTCCAGCCTTTGCAGTCAATGTGTGTTGTATAGCAATGTGATCTGATCCCTTTTTTTCACGTTGAAATCTTCAATTATTTTAAAATTGTTAATGATTAAATTTTGTTTTCTCATTTGTCTTCCAAAATAACATGTCTTCCCCTTTTTGGAATATCGGGTATTTTGTTTAACTTTCCTCAATTGCATTTTTCAGATCACCAGGAGAACCTCAGTCTGACGACATTGAAGCTAGCCGAATGTAAGTGTAAACTTGATTGAGGCTGTGGTATCTTTTCTTATTTTTGCAACCACCTTAACCCATTTTGCTCACCCTCCACCCCTTGCCTCTGGCAACCACCAGTCTATTCTCTGCATCAGTGAGATCAGCTTGGTTTGTGTGTTTGTCTTTTAGATTCCATATGTAATCATATAGTATCTGCTTATCTGACTTCATTTGGCATAAGCCCCGCAAGGTTCACTCATGTTGTCACAGACAGACTGTCTCCGTATCTTGGCTGTTGTAAAGAATGCTGCACTGAACATAAGAGTGCATATATCTTTTCAAATTAGTGTTTTCATTTTCTTTGGATAAATACCCAGAAGTATAATTGCTGGATCATCCCATAGTCTATTTTTGATTTTTTTGAGTAACATCCATACTGTTTTTCCATAGTGACTACACCATTTTGCATTCCCATCAACAATGCATAAGGGTTTCCTTTTCTCGACCTCATTGCCAGTACTCACTATTTTTTGTCTTTTGATAATAACCATTCTAACAGTTAGGAGGTGATAATCTCGTGGTTTTGTCTTGCATTTTCTGCATGATTAATGATGTTGAGCATCTTTCATGTACCTATTGGCCATTTGTGTCTTCTTGGGAAAATGGATTTTTGTGATTGGATTGCTTTTTTGCTGTTGAGTTGTGTGAGTTCTTTACATATTTGGGATAGTAACTAACAGATACATGATTTACAAATATTTTCTCCCATTCAATAGGTTGCCTTTTCATTTTGTTGATAATTTCCTTTGCTGTGCGGAACCTTTTTAATTTGATGTAGTTGCAGTTTATTTTTGTTTTGGAGTCAGATCCAAAAAATCATTTCTAAGACCTGTGCCAAGGAGCTTATCATCTATGTCTTCTAGGAATTTTATGGTTTCAGATCTTATGGTCAAATCTTTAATCTATTTTGAGTAAATCTTTGTGTGTATATAAGTGGTCCAGTTTCATTCTTTTGCAAGTGGCTCTCCAATTTATCTGTCAACATTTATCGAAGAGACTGTCCTTTCCCCATTGTATATTCTGGCTCCTTTGTTGTAAGTTAAAACTGATTGTATATAGATTTATTTTTGTACTCTATTCTGTTTTGATTTGTGGTGCCTTTTTTTAAATTTTTATTTTATTTATTTATTTATTTTTTTTGTGGGACCCTTGCCGGTGGCCGGGGATCAAACTGCAGGCAGTCTCACAACCCAGCGCTCAGCCTCTGCGCCACGAGGGGAGGCGATTTGTGGTGCCTTTTTAAGTTGCCTGAGACTGTTTTAAATGGATCACAGTTTGGCAAATAATTCCCAGTAAAAAGAGAGTAGTGCTTTAAAAAAATAATTTGGGAGATAGGTATGTCTACTATTTACCCTACCAGATAAATACCTCTAAACCTTGGTTACAAGTCATTAGATTTCCACTGCCAGATAAATAATTGCATGCTCCTATGTTCTTATTTTTTTTCTTACGTAGCAATTGTGGGAAAATATGATAGGGAAAGTGTTGATTTTAACAATCATTTATTGTCCACTTTGTATATGTTATCAGGTGCTGTGTTGTGGGTACAAAGATACATAATAATTTGTTCCCAAGCTACAAAAATTTACAGTCTACTCAATGTGAAAAACACAGAAGGAAATCCTTTTAATCATTATGATAGAAGGGTACCTAGGATGCAACAAGAACATTAAAGAGAACCATGATACTCAGCGGTACAATAGGAACCCAATGCAGATGGTGGGGAAATAGGGGTCACCAGGGAAGTCTAAGTTAAATCTTGAAATACTGCTGGGAATTAGGTAGCTACCTGTATGCATTGTTAGGGTTGTTCTAGGCAGACACCAGGCAGCATAGTGAATGTAAGGAGCACCAGGAAGCTGAGAATTTGTAGATTATAAGTAAATGCAGGGTTAAAAAGGAATGGGGCAGCTCATGTTATTTGCAGGATCGTGGCCTATCTCTTATAGGTAATTGGGTGTTGGTTGCTAAGTTTGGGGTAGTAACCTTAGCAGATGTATATTTTGAGTAATTTTGGCAGTAGGGAAACAGGATTGAAGAGAAGCGTGTGGTGGTGACCAGAGCTTCTGTAGTTCAGTCAGTGAGAGCCTTACCAAAAGCAATGGTGTAATAGGGATTCAAGACAAAGTTTTCTGGATTTAACAAAAATATTGAGAAAGTGAAATAGTAAGGATTAAATGTATTTAAGAAGCTTAAAACAGAAGAGATGTAATTATCGAATCAAGGTTTTAGAGGTAGTGTTGAAATAAAGAACATGGATGTAGGGATTGTTCTTGAATATGTGTGATGTTAAATGTGTATATAGTTAAAAATGGGGAAGCCAGTGTCATTTGCACTTCAGCTATCAGTTTTCTCAACAACTTATTTTAGGTCCCCTAAACCTCTGTTTCTATCTGTGGGGTAAAAATAGGTCCTTCCTGGAAAAAGTTGGGAAATGCAGACTTAAAGAGCAGTTTTCTTTAAAAATAGTAGAAAGCCTTTAAAATGCTGATGTACATTGTGTATTTCTAGGAAGGGACTGTAATATTTCTCATATCTGTGTGACTGTGTAACCTTTCCAATTTTTTTTGTATGGCAAAACACACGTAACAAAATGTGCCAGCCATCTTTACCATTTTTAATTTTTAGTAGTATATAACATGGGGTGCATGAGTTCCTAGTTTAACTCCATCGTAATTTGAGAGTACAATTGTATGATTCCTGTTCTTTTAGATTTGTTAAGGTGTGCTTTATCACCCAGCGAATGTGGTGGCCTGTCTTGGTGAATGTTCCGTGTAATCTTGAGAAGAATGTGCAGTCTTTTCCTAATGAATGAAGTAGTTCATAGATGCTGATTAAATCCAGTTGATTAATGCAGCTGTTGAGTTCAAATGTGTCCTAACTCATTTTCTAACTGATTTTGTGCCTCCTTGATCTGTCCTTTTCTGATTAATGGGGTTTTGAAGTCTCCAACTATGATAGTGGATTAATCTGTTTTCCTGTAGTTCTATCAGTTTTTGCTTCCCATAATTTGACTCTCTTTGTTAGGTGCATACATACTAAGGATGGTTAAGTCTTGGAGAATTGACGCATTTGTATTTCTATACAAAGCACTTCTTTCTTCCTGATATCTTATCTTGCATTAAAGTCTACTCTTCTGAAAGTAATACAGCTACACTTTCTTTTGATTATTATTAACATGTTATATTTTTTCTCATATACTCACATTTAATATACATGTCTTTAGACTTAAAGGGAATCTTATATTTTGAACTGCTCTCAGTCTCTTTTAATGGGTGCATTTAGACCATTGATGTTTAAACTGATTATTGATATAGTTGGATTAATAGATACTGTATTTGTTACTGTTCTCTGCGTATTGCCCTTATTCTTCATTCCTGTTTCTGTCTTTTAGTTTTCTGCCCTTTGTGGTTTTACTTGAGCATTTATAAGATTCCATTTTCTTTTGTTAATATAATGCTTATCCTTCTTAATTGCTTCTTCAGTAGTTGTTCTAGAGTTTACTAAGTAGACATTTCTGTCTAATCCTTGGCCACTTTCAAATAGCACTACATGCCATTGAGTGTCTTATAAGAAAGTCCTAATTGCTTCCTCCTACCCCTTTTTGTAATTACTGTCATTCGTTTCACTTATATATAAACACAAATATATATATTCATATACACATGTAAATATTCATAATCAAGTACATATTTGGTCTTGTTAGAACAATAAGAAAGAAGTTTTTATTTTACCTTTACTTAATCATTCAGTAGTTTTCCTCTCTTTATGTAGATTCCACTTTCTGATATATCATTTTCCTTTCCTAAAGAATTTTTTTAAAACAATTTCTTTTAAGGCAGATCTACTGACAAGTTCTCAATATTTATTTGTTTCAGAGAGCCTTTAGTTCTCCACTTTGAAAGATTACGTCACGGCACACATTTCTAGGTCGGTGTTTTGTTTTGGGTTTTTTCCCTCAGTACTTTAAAATACTTCATTCTGTTCTTGTTTGTGTGGCTTCTGAGAAGTCAGATATGATTATTTTTGTAGACAGCTACAATATTTTTGTATAAAGTGTTTTCTATCTTTGGCTTTTTTCAGAGTTTTTCTTTTGTCTTTAGTTATGTAGTTTGAAAATGATATGCCTGAGGTGTAGTTCCTTTTACCCTGTTTTGTTGTTGCTGTTTGTTTTTGTTTTGTTTGCTCCTTGAGGTCTAATGTTGATTTCAGGTCTTCCCCTTTAATATAGGTATTTAATGCTATAAACATCCCTCCTCATACTGCTTTTGCTGCACCCCAAACATTTTGCTGTGTTACATTGTCATTTATCTCAAGATACTTCCTATACTCTGGTCTAGTTTTTCTTTGATTGATTATTTGTTAAATACTGGATTGTTTCATTTCTACATATTTGTGGATATTCTAGTTTTCCTTTTGTTTTTGATTTATAGCTTCATTCTATTGTGATCAGGAAAGATACTTGGCATAATACCAATTTTAAACTTAAGACTTGTTTTGTTGCATAACATTTGATCTCTCCTGGAAAATATTCCATAAGCAGTTGAGAAAATGGTACTTGTTCTGCTATGTAGAGTGCCTTCTAGGACGGGGCCATCGTTTTTTGGTGTGTCTACATTTGAAAAAACAGTCACCTCTCTTTAGACTGGCCCTTAGAGAGAAGGCTGTCATGCTTGTTGAGGTTCTTGGTATGCCTACTACTTTGCAGGGAATGTGCCACCCCTAGACTTGTGCTTGTCATTTACCAATTGAAAAAAGTTTGGTGGTTTCTTTTCCAGAAGTTTACAGCCTTTTGCTCCCTCTTGTGTCTGTCTATGGTACTTCAAGGTCTCTGGTGCTGCAACAGGCTGGGGAATTGTCTTTAGTTTTCTGCAGCTCCATGCTCCCCTTCCCCTGCTGCCACCATCCCCACACCCCATCCTTTGTATCCTGGCTCCCTCAGTGTTTCAAATCAGGCAGGAAAGAAACTGGCCCCT